TACTTGCTGGATGGTCTAAAAAGGCAAGCTTTTCAAGCTTTTTATTATGAATTCTCGGACATAAAGCATGCTGTTAGGAGAAACGCTACCATTGGGACGATAAAATCATCCAATGTTGAAATGTTTTCTGCCTCTTCTTATGGCCTGGTTGGGATTGGAAAAACCTAGATGCCTTCCATTTATCTCCAACCTCGGATTTCATGACTAGTTTGCACAATTGTTGTACACCTGAGGGTGGCGGAGGCTCTCAGTGTCCGAGCTGATGGGGCCTAGCATTAGCAGGGACCGGTGATGCTGTAAATATCTAAGCTTAGGTCACTCGCGGTTGGGCGACAAACTGTTCACAGTATGATTTATTTTCTCAACCTCATCTCAAGAATGCCGTCAATTACCCGTTCCCTAGGTTCACATGCACACATGTTCACGTAATTCCACTTCTCTCCCATCCCTACAACGCCTGTCCCCCTCCCTCGGCCCCAGTAACGAGTCTTTGAGACCGGGCCTGACCGGACGATGGTACAGCAATATGAGCCTCGAAATCCTACTTACAGGCTTGATACAGCTACCCGATTGTTGTGTTCTCCGTTTTTCACTGGGGCTCAAGCGATCATGAGGTTGATAAGTGTTTGGCCGGGACGGCAAACAATTTATGTCTCTCCCCGTCGTGATCCCAACTCTCGGCCAGCTTAACACGCGGGCATCATCTAATCGCACGTGCCACCGGGTTCTGGGTAGCTGAATTCGCCAAGTTTTGCCTTCTTTGGCTCCGTTCGTCGGTCAGCGTAATCAGGTCGTCGTCCGGTGAGGACGATTTCAGCAATGGAAAAGAGCTATCAGAAGATCTGGAATGTCATTTGTGGCCAATTATCGACACTATTTATAGCCACACTGACCCATCATCTGTTTGTGTCGTTTCAGCAGGCGAGGTTGGGCCCGGAAATCAGAGAATGGGCAGACGTGTGCAACGCTAAACACCCCCGGAACACACAAATACATACATGCATACATACATAGTCATACTTATCGTGTTAGTCTGACTGCATTGCCTCGGCCAATGCGAAATCTGACATCGTTATGAGTTCGTAGGTGAATGGGTGTACATGTGTGCATACATATTTACGCAAATATTCACAATTAATCAACGAGCCTCAATCCTCTTGTACACTTTTGTACTCAAAGGAGACTGTTGATGAAACCACGACTGATGGAAGGAACTGTCACACTCGCTAGTGTAGAGTGTCGGGTTGCCTGCATTTGGCCATCCGATGTGGAATGGGACTTCTTCCAACCGACAATACCCTTGGGACAAAAGGATCCACACATTTCCTTAAAACCCTTGTCCAAGTCCCGGATAGCAGAGCTCAGTAGTTATCAACAGCTTACAACCGAGTGGTCACGACGGTCGATAAGCATAGACTATGACATTCTGGATCGTTTTCAGGCCGATCAGTCTTAAGTGGATACGGGGCATGACTACCGGAAGGAAAACCCTACCGTTTTATTAATTAAGGTGAGCAGTGGCTAGTATACAGTGGACTTGGGCTAATACTGTCCACATGACTCGCTAAAAACTCACCCAAAAAGAGAAACCATAAGCATGATATATATATATATATACTAGTTTTTATTAGTAATATATGCATATATTTTATACTATTAATTTAATAAAATATACGCCTAGTTGGATTAATATCAATATTATATCATAGTATTCTAATACTATATTATATGTTTATACATAACAACATATTATGTATGAATATATGTAGATATATCATGCAAACGGTATTTCCTTTCGAATAAGCATTTAATGAATCAATTGTTGCTCATATTTTGTTTTAGTAAGTGACGGGAGTATAAAAGGAGTGTGCAAAAGGGTGATTATAAAACAGAGATATTCAAACAAGATCTTAGTATATATATATATA